AAGAAATTCAAGGAGGACGGCTGAGGGTTGGCTAATTCAGCAGTTCACCCAAGACCCAGATTCTTTTCATTTTTTTTGCTCTGCCATCCTTAGTATGTCACCTTGTCCTCCAAACAGAACAGCAGTTCCAAATCCAGCAACACTCAGCAGCAAAAGAGAATCATTTCTTATTTCTCTTTGTCTCTTTGTAGGAGCAAGGAAGTCCATCAGATTTCCTCAAATCTCACACTGGAGAGAATTTTATCATAGTCCTAAACCAAGTACTGGCAAGGGGAATGGAACCCCGTGATTGGTTTAGATCCATCAGTGTTTCACCCATCTCCCTCCCACTCAGCCCCCACCCCTGCACTGGAGTCAATCTCCCCTGAAGCCCATGGCCACATAGAGAAGGATGGCTGCTTAAACATGATCAGGATTCTATAAGCAAGGGCGGGGAAGGGGGATGGACAGTGGTTAAGCAAGCAACATGCTGCTACAGCTTTTGAAAAGGGAGAAAATATCAGTGAAGCATTTTAGGAAGCGTAATCTAGCAATGGTATGCGAGCAGATAGAAGGCCTGGAAATAGACCCAGTTATATTATTATGAGTCTAGATGTGACTCTATTATAAAATAGAGTCTGATATGTACTACCAAAGCAATGGTTCTCAACTGCCAATTCATTCACTCATTCACTCAATAGATATGTAATGAATGACTGCCATGGGTAAAGCACTATGCTAGGTAATATAGATAAAATGGTGAACATATCTGGTGGAGCTTTGCAATCTAACTGATGAATCAAATATCAATGAAATAATCTACAAGTAAATGTAAATTTATAACTTGGTTAAGTGTTATGAAGGAACCCAAGATGTTTGTTTTCTATTTCTTAAATTGAGGTAAAGTTCACATGGTGAAATGTGCAGATCTTAAGTACACAATTTGATGTACATGTGTAACAGCTACCTCATCAAGATATAGAACATTTCCGTCACCTCAAAAATTTCCCTCATGCCCCCTTTCTATTCAATCTCCACTTCCCCCCAATATGCAACCATAGTTCTTTTTTTTTTCTTTAATAAAGTTATTTATTTATTTTTGGCTGCCTTGGGTCTTTGTTGCTGCGTGCGGGCTTTCTCTAGTTGCGGCGAGCAGGGGCTACTCTCCATTGCTGCGCGCGGGCTTCTCATTGCGGTGGCTTCTCTTGTTGCGGAGCACGGGCTCTAGCTGCACAGGCTTCAGTAGTTCTGGCACTCGGGCTCAGTAGCTGTGGCTCATAGGCTCTAGAGCACAGACTCAGTAGTTGTGGCACATGGGCTTAGTTACTCTGCAGCATGTGGGATCTTCCCGGACCAGGGCTCGAACCCATGTTCCCCTGCATTGGCAGGTGGATTCTTAACCACAGTGCCACCAGGGAAGTCCCTGCAACCACAGTTCTGATTTCTATCATCATGGTTACTTTTGCCTGTTCTCGAATTTCATATAAATGGCTTCTTTTTCTCAACAAATGATTTTAAGACTTATCCATGTTGTTGTGTTTAAAGGGAGTCCATTTTTTTAAAATTGTATTCCATTGTTTGATTAGTGTATTTTTTCTGTTGGTAGACATCTGAGATGTTTCCAGTTTGGGTCTATTATGAATAATGTTGCTATGAACATTTACGTAAAAGCTTTTTGTGGACATCTGTTTTCATTTCTATTGGGTAAATACCTACGAGTGGAATTGCTGGGTTACAGAGTAGGAAAGCGTTTCACTTTATAAGAACTGTGGATATTTTTAAAAAATATAGATTCATGGTCCTCAGTCCTAAGAATTCTGAGTTAGTCATCTGAGGTTCCTAGGCACATACGGTATGTAGTTTTTAAGACTCCACAGAACCACTGGTCTAAATTATAGTGGTGGTAGTGGAAAGGAAGTTATTTTGGTTTGATTTTCTTTTCTACCACAAAAGCATATAAATGCAAACAATTGCCGGGTGGCTTTTTTTGTTTGTTTTTTGTTTTCCTGGTTAGCTGCAAAATAGCTTTCTCTGAACATTTCCCCCTACTCTATCCATTAGCCCAGGTGTTGAAATAATCTCTCCTTTTAGTTTCTCTGCTGAAAGGCAAAGCTCTGTTTTTTTCTGCTCTTGCTTAAAGTGAAGTGAAAACTCAGGGAGCTCCTTGGAGTAGCCCTTAGAATTGCTAAAATGAGTAAACAGGCCTTTAGGGTGGATGAGAACTTTGTACTGAATGGCAGATAAGGCTGTGTGACCCTGTGTATACTGGTAGGGTTTTCTCTGCTGTTTTTACTTCCCTTACTGTTTTTCTACCTGTCAGCAAAAAATAATCACCTGTGTTCTGACTTCCCACAATGACACTGGACAGCTGCTTCTGAGCATTTAGCATAGTGACAGCCTGAATGGCTGCACATCACTACAAAAGAGGTCCCCTGCTTCTAGGCAGAGAAATTGACACATAGGAATAGGGAATCACTTAATGGATTAGGGGCTGGCTGAGCTGGGACCAGAACCCAGGTGGCCTGGCTCCCAGCCCGGCTGACCACACTGCTACGCATACAGCCTGGGCTGACCCAAAACAAGCAGCCCATTGAGCAACTGCACAAACAACAATGAGTGATGGATGGTCAGAGCAAGAAACAGGCACAAAGCAACTGCAACCCCATCACTTCCTGGCCCCTAAATTTCCAGGCAAGCCTATAAAGTGTGGTCACTTAAATGAGTTTGATCAGCAACTTGGCCCAGCTTTCAAATTTGGAAACTTTTTGTAGTCACTGCCAAAAGTAAAGGTCAGCCTTGTACTGAGAGGTGGAGAAGGCCTTTGAACGTCATACCTGGTCATAATAAGTCTGTGGTAGTGGAGTTAAGACTAGAAAGAGGTAGTTAACAGATGGGCATAACCTGGTCCTGGGAGGGCCTTGGTGAAACAAGACAGCTTTAAATTTTTGAGGCTCCTCATCTGTGGACCTTTCTGCCTACCTCAGATCTAGCTGGCAAGGGTGGGTGTGATCCATGGAGTTCGGTGACCAAGTCTCATCCTACTCCTTCTCAAATTTGCCACTGAACAGTGTCCAAAATTTGTAGTCCCCACATGCTTGTCCCCCAAATGCCTCTGCCTGCCAACCTGTATTGCTGGTCCTGGATGTGCCTCATGCTAGGTACTCTGACCTACTTGGCCTTGGTATAGCCCTAGGCCCTAAATCTTCAACTCTAAATCCAGGATATTCCCAAGAGATATAGCTGTCTAGGAAGTTTCTTGTTTCAGATGTCAATTTTCTAGTCTTGAGCTGGATAATTCTAAAGTGTCTATGCTCCCCTCTTTACCTTTAGAAACTGAAGACTTCAGAAAGTAGTGAGGGGACAGAAAAGTTGACTGTAATATTTGTTTTTAAATAGGCCTAATGGGCACAACATTTTGAAAACGCAAACCAGTTGCCACAATGTTAGGAATCTGAATTAAAATTTAGCATTTCTTGCGCTTCCCTGGTGGCGCAGTGGTTAAGAATCCGTCTGCCAATGCAGGGGACAAGGGTTTGAGCCCTGGTCCGGGAAGATCCCACATGCCACGGAGCAACTGAGTCCGAGCGCCACAGCTACCGAGCTGGAGCGCTAGAGCCCACAAGCCACAACTATTGAAGCGCGCGCGCCTAGAGCCTGTGCTCTGCAACAACAGAAGCCACCGCAATGAGAAGCCCTCGCACCTCAACGAAGAGTAGCCCCCGCTCGCCGCAACTAGAGAAAGCCCCCACGCAGCAATGAAGACCCAACACAGCCAAAAATAAATAAATAAAATAAATAAACTTAAAATAACTTAGCATTTCTTTGGTCAGATTATAGCAGGGGCTGGCTGCACTTTGTGTTTGTCATAAAGAGGTATTTATTAAATGGCTCTTCTTACTTGAAACTGTCCACGTTCGTCTAATATTTATTCATTCAACAAATATGGAAGGTCTGCTATGTGCCAGGCAAGGCTTATGTTCCCATAGCCATAGGTCCTTGTAAATCACACAGCACATATGTGAGTTCTGCCTTATACAATACAGTTTTGTGTTTTACTAAAGTGTAAGACCCTTGATGCCTGGAATTATGTCTTATTCATTTTTGTGTCCCCAGGATCAATGAGCACAGTGCCTTGCACGTAGTAGGGACTCAATATTTGTGAATTGAACTATGCTACAGCATGGTTGTTGTACAAGGCTGTTAAAAGGTATTACCAAAAAAGCACTACATAACTTGTTTTGCTTGTGCTAACAGTCTAAGGCAGATATGTCAATAGGGTATTATCATTATGCAAGTAAATAAATATTGAGTATTTACAGAGAAAAGTATGCGGTTGGCCAAAAAGTTCGTTCGGGTTTTCCCCTAACATCTTACACTATGTTCACTGCAGGAGTGAAGGAGGGAGAGTGCTTAACTGGGTGGAGATTGGTCTGGAAGAAGTGTTAATTTTCCTCCGGTCAGTCCAGAATGATCGCGTAGAGTAACTAGAATTTCAGTCTTCTCAGTCTAAGTATTTTCATCCCTCTCACCTTTCTAGAACTACCCCGCCTCTTTCTGCTTCTTCCCAAAGGGCTGTGTCCAACTAACTACACCTCAAAGTCTCAAGAGTCCACCCAGTAGCCCTCCAGCTCCGGTTCAAGAACTCTCCAGAACAGGGGCTTTAGGTACACGGGCCAGGAAAACACGGGGTCACGCACGGGGCAAGCGCCAAACTGGCCGCAGCTAGGGGAGTGGCGCTAAGGGCGGGGCTGCTACGGGGTGGGGCGGGGCGGGGCTGGGCGGGAGGAGGCCCGGGGGCCGCTTGGGTGTCACCACCAACCCGCTCCGGCCGGAAACTGGCGCTTGTTTCCGGCCGGACGGCCGAAAACCACCGATCCTGAACCAGCAGCCGGAGTCGAGTGTGGAGCAGGCAAAAAGCCACTGGGGGAGGCCAGTCCAGATCAGTCCCGTCTGGCTCCAGCTCCTGATCCTGTGCGGAACAACAGCCGCGGTCTCAGTCTCTGCCACCGCCTCCGCCTCCATCGTCGACGGGGGAGGGGCCGGCCGGACCCCGGGGTCACAGCAGAGGAATGAGGAGAGGCAGCCGGGCCCCGCGCTCCGCCCCGGCCTAGGGCCTTGCCCCGGGAGCCGCGAGGGTAACGGAGCCCCCGCCTTGTCACCCTCCCCCGTCTGCTCCCGCCCCTCCCGCCTCTTCAGACTCCCAAACTCTGACCCTCTGATCGCCACTGTTCCCCATCTCCTTTCTGATTATATTTCACCCTGAGCCATCTCCTCTCGGCACCCCCTCTTCGCCCTGACTGTTCCTTGCTTGGCCCCAACCTTTCCGCGGTTACTCCTCCCTTTCACCTGCGTCCCGCCTTCCCAGCCTCCCTTCCCCGTTCGTGGCCTCCCTTCGTCAACTGCTGGGCAGTTTGGACGGTCCTCCCTTGTCAGCTAGACTTTCGGGGAGAGATGGTGGAGTTTTAAGGTGGCTAGGAGTGCAGGGTACTACCCTCATTGTAGGATAAAGTTCATTTTAAAGTCTCAATATAAAAGTAAAATGAAAAGAAAACAAGCTGTTCTCCCCTATCGATAGCCAAACTGAGGTGCGTCCAGTAATGGAGGAAGGGAGCGAAAAAGAAGTGTGTGTGTGTGTGTGTGTGTGTGTGAGAGAGAGAGAGAGAGAGAGAGAGAGAGGTTGGTTCTAGGGCAGGCTTATGAACTTTAGAAAAAAGAAAAGTTGCCGTGAGCCGATGGAAACTTTAGAAGCTGATGATGAGTAAGCCGGGGGCTGCGTGATCTCACTCCTCTTCTCATAATTACTAGGTTAACGGTGTGGCTCCGGTCGGGATGGAACGGGATTTGTTTACTGGGCAGGCGTATTTTTAGCTTGTCGGCTCACAAGGACCAGCGCTCTGAGTCTCTCTCTCCGCCTCTCTCTTCCCCTCCGTCTTTCCTTCTCTCTCTTCCTCTTTTTTTCCCACCCCACGCCCCCACGGTCTAGATAATCTCTCTGGAGCCCAGGTGGCTTCTCTGGGCACAATACAGATATAAAAATTAGGTTCAAAGAAATTTTCTGTAAGAGGTTCTCCCCAGCTTTTCAGGGAGTTTTCATGAATGCAAAGGCAAAAATTAGTTGACTTTTAGTACATATATGTATAAAATACTTTATAGAAAATCAGAAACAGGTAATGTTCAGTCTTTGGCTTCTCATACTGTATATTTAGATCTTAGAGGACGCTGGATCCCTTTGTCTTTCAACCTATTTCTAAAGTGGGAAAGGACAAAGTAGAGAGAAGAGGTAGTCAATAAGGCGGGTCCAAAAGGGTAGTTAGTCCTAAATCTTTTAAAAAACATTTTCTATACTGTATTACTTTAAAAAACAGAAACTTTCTTTCCTAATAAGTGAGATTGCATTCTTGATGGGATGGAGAAGACAGCAGGGGCTTATGCTGGGTGCCTAGGGAGAATCAGACTTGTAATTAAACATTTGCTGTGCATAATTTACAAATGAATACATTATGGGCAAACAATTATACTCTTTGTCCTCATTGTTTTTCCGAGCCTTTCTTTTAAAGGTTAGTAACCAACCTGCTGTGCTAGTCTATTGATATTTTGAAGGCTGGACAGAACTGTAAAATAAATGAAATTGATGTTGCTCATCTGGAAGCTGAATACCAGTCTGTTCTAATTTCCGCTAGCTACGCAGCATGCCTCAGAGCACCTCCCTGAGTTAGTGGCCAGTTACTATGTACTTAGAGATTACAAATGAATACACATATTAGCTCATGCTAGGAATAATTGAAATGATAAATACGCTGAAAAGATTTTCCAAAACTGAAATAGATTATTTTTCGATTTTTTCCATTTCGGATTATCAGCACCTTTCTACCGATAATCATCCATTAACATGAATAATTTAGAGTTGAACAGATATCCACTTTGGACAGTACGCATTCAAGCAGGAAGGAAAGATGGAAGGAAGATAGTTTCCAAACTATTACTATTTTTGTTGTTGTTGTTGCCTGCTTTGACTTATCCCTTTCATTTAATGCCAAAGACTCCTTTGTGAAGAAAAAAAGTAAACCTTTGCCAAAGAAAGGGCTGTCTACTGACTTGTATAAGGCAAGCTGACCAGTAATGAATGTTAATTACTAGTTGGACTTTGTGTAGTTATGTTACCAACAACGTGGAAATTTTCCTGAAGCTTTATTTCGTTAATCTCTTTCTTTTGGGACCCCTATTGAAAATGACTTAATTTGAAGGGTAATATCTAATTTTTAAAAATCACACATGCTGTTCCAGAGTCTGTTGACTATCAATAGTTGTTTTAATTTATGAGTTAGTTCGTGCCAATATTAGTGATGATATCTGGCAAATTCAATTCATATCTGTATTTAGCAACTTCCCCTAGTTGAACTACATATATTATTCCAGGGGTTAGGGGTGGGGATTGAAGGAGTGAATAAACTCTAGGAATAAGTGTAGCAGCCCAATAGCCCATCACTGTTTTCAGTTCTCAGAAGGCTTTGTTTGGAATTTTGAGATTCAATATATATGTAACTAAGTGAATTATGATGGAGTAACTCAGTATTAAAAATAAGTTTTCAGACTGTTACGGGGGCACTAAGTGCCACTTGTTAAAGTTTTAGAGCTCCTGAATGTCTCAAGCATGCTAAGTATGCTGGCAGAGGACTTTATAAGGGAGCACACGTTCTCCTTACGCCAGACATTCATCCCATCAAGGGAAAAATCCTGAAACAATGCTTTGAAGTGTGACTTCAGCAGTATCTTTCCTATGCAAACTTAGGAACTGTGGAATGGCAGCCTGGAATCTTTTCAACAGCCCCTGATAAGTCAGACAATTAAAATCTGTGTAACTAGAATGCAGATGCAGGACAGTTTTATCATGAATGCCTGAAATTAGTTGATTTTTTAATATGATAGAAGAAGGAAGTTGATTTTTTTTTTTAAGTAATAAATCCTTGCTGAATAATGACTGAACACTCCTGTGGATAAGGCAGTTTCCAAGTGTCAGTGACAGGCTTTGGGGAGATATAAAAGTTGTAAAAACAGGTGTTCTTGCCCTTGGGACAAGGGTGATGTTGGGGAAGGCAGTATGTAAATGAGAAAGCAGACTATTATAAGCTTTAACATTTAAGAAAAAACATATAAACAAAACCAAGTTTAATGTGCTACAAATGAAGTATGTAGAGATTAGGAAATTCGAAGTAACAAAGTATGAATGAAGTAAATTAGGGAAGATTTCTGAGTCAGTAAAATTTGAAGTGGACTTGGGAGGCTATGGATTACAGTCATAATGAGGCATGGGCTATGGAGTTAGACGATCTTGGTTCAACTTGTGGTTCTACTTTTTACTAATGCGACCTTGGGCAATTTACTTCTGCATCCTTATCTATATAATAGGTGTGAGCATTCCAATAAATAAAATAATTATTCTGTGTTAGGAGTAAAAGGAGATAAAAGATCTTCTGGGCAGAAAGTATAGAATGTACAGTGTGCAATGATGGTATGAATGACTAAGTTGTGTTTGTGGGGAGAATAAATGAGAATGACTGGAGAGAATGTGGGTTGGTCAAGTCATGGGTAGAGCAGGCGAGAGGGTGGAGGGGACTCAGAGGCCAGACTCTGTTGGGTGTTGATGAAAGGGTCAATAGAGTCATTGTAGGTCCTTGAACAAAGGATGGATTTAATGAGAAGTATTGAGCCCTCTGATCCAAGAGCTCAGGGACAAGGAGTCAGGTACCAGTAAATTGTGACTCTCCTACTTCTCTTCTGGACCATCCTGGCCTAAAGAGATCAGCCAGGAGACGTAAGATTCCTTGTAGAAATTTTTGTATTTACACACCTTACTCACTATGTTGAGCTCTGCTTGTGACTGTCTGATGTTGTACCAACCTGTGGGGAAGTCTCAAGGCTATGTCTGGATTCTCTTCAAGAGCTTATGGTAAGGGCAGTGTCATGTTTCCAGTGCATTGAACTTTCAGTTATCTCTGCTATTGTAGGGAGCACTAGTTTAGGTAATTCAGAACTTCAGAAAGAAATTTCTTGGTTTGAAAATGCATTATTTTAAAAACCAGACTTATTTTAGTGTTTTGGGGATCATACTGATGAAATGAATTGGCATTTCTAAGCCTGAATTACCTGATAGTGAGGAAAGTATACTGATGGTGAAGAAACGTCAGTCTTGGATTAAAGATTTTGCCTCAGAAATCCATAAAATGAAAAGTCCATATGAGGGTAATTAAGACTGGGCTATACTGAGTATGTTAATGAAGACCAATTTCTTTTCAAAATCTGTGTGTGTCCAATGTGGCCTCAGGCTGTCTGCCTTATTCCTAAGAGCTATTGGTAGAAGATGCCTATGTTGCAGCCTGAATAAGTCTTTACACACAATATCTGGAAGAGTCCTACTGCGTGATACTGCATTGTTGAAGATTAAGCTGGCTTTTTTTTGAAGGACTTGGGCTTTGTAGAGGCTCTTCAGATATTAGCGCCTTTGAAAATCTATTAGATTTTTCCTCCTGGAGTAAACTTGTTTGAAAATGTGGCCAATTTAAGAAAAAAAAAAAAAAAAGAAAAAGGAATGAGGAGAAGTCCACACTTAAGAAGTAAACAAAAAAATCACACAGCTGTTCTTCCATCCTTGTTCTTTCAGTTGACTTGCTTTCCTTCATCCTTGCCTACCCCCAGCCTTCTCATAATCATTACCAAACTATGTGCTTGTGATGTCATGGGCACAGGATTATTATTTACCACTTAAGTCAGGAGATTGAAGTATCTCTGAGCTAAAATTCAGAGGTGGAAAAATCAGTCATCTTAATTTATACAGTTTAGTTCAGGATTATTTTTAACTGTGTTTTTTAGGATTATCTCTTATACCTTATACTATAAGAAATAGTTTTTGATAGGAGAGACTACTAAGCTGTTATTTTTAGTGATCCTGCTGTGAATTTAGTTCTACTAAGTGGTATGGAGGATTAGGAAAAATGACAGTTTTGTGCCCTTGAAGAATTTACAGCCTAGTTGGGAGTAAGGGGAATAGGAAGGAATGAATACCTATTGAGCCTCTTTATGCCAGAGAAAAATTTAAAATGTGAAAGTGTATTATCATTTGCATAATACAGACCTCATA